GGTAGATCCTGGGTTGCCCTTAAATTCAAAAGTGATCTTGGGCATAAAAAAGTTGGAGTCCACTGGTCGAAGTATTATTGGATTCGTTGCTGAGGCTGAGCTCTCGCCCAACAGCCGTGAGTAATGCTTTCTACCATCTCCAGTTGGCTAGGAGACTCCATCTCATCCTGGAAAACTAAGAGTTGGCCTCAGTCATTCATACCTTCATCACCTTGGCTGGCCTACATCAGTGTGATTTACCTGGGCATGAAACCTTCAGCACTTAAACTCCAACTAATACGAAGTGCTGCAACATGTCTCCTCAGCAACACAGGCTACCATGAGCACATCACGCTGGCTTCCTATAGAATTTTGAATCAAGTTCAAGGTCTTGGTCTTCTCTTCAGAGCATTCTATGGCCTGGGCTCAGGATACCTAAAAGACCATCTAACGCCTGGGTACAAAGACCAAGGTTGATGACTTTGCTCCTCTGGCACAGTGGAACTCTCAACAATAAGAGTAAAGCACATCTGTGAGGGAGATTCAACTTTCACCAGTGAAAGCTCAAGACTTTGAGCTCCCCCAGGAACTAAGTACCGTCACAAACCTCACCACTTTCCACTTCAAGGGCAAGATGCATTTTTTTACCTTCCTTTCTCTAATATAAGCACAGCAACAATATAGTTGTGGTTTGTTTGTTTGTTTGTTTGTTTAAGACACCCTGCCAGAACAGCATACTCCACTGCACATACTTCTCTCTCTGGAGGGACAATGAGAGAACACACATATGACAGATGGGTAGTCACGTTGCTTAATGCACTACTGGAAGGCATTTAGATACTACAGTTATCAGCACAGTATAAAAACTTATATAGAATAGAATACATTGTATGCCTGTCATGTTGCGATCATCTTGAAGTAATTGTTTTGACATGTTGTGGGAGAGTTGCCTTCCAGGCAGTCCATGGGATCTTTATCCTTCCTTGCCCCATTTGGGGATTGCCTTTATTTTTGGGGAGAAGCATGGACCCTTATAATGTGAAATAGTTGGTTTCTGGAAAAAAATCTCATTGGCATTCTCTGAAGTTCCATACCATCTCTATTCAGGGGCCCCTCTCAGGAGTGTCTGGAATTGCTTCTTTCTCTAGGGGTAGTAGAAGTTCCACTACAAAACAGAGAGAAGGGGATTATTCCATGTATTTCCTAATCCTGAAGAAAATGTGGGATTGCATCCTATTTTGGATTTGACAGGCTCAGTGACTTCATCTGCCACTTCAAGTTCACTTGCATCACTAGATCCACAGGACTAGTTTATGGCTCTCAGCCCAAAGAATTGGGAAAATACAGGCACTTACGCAGGCTCTCATTATATAGTATTCCACCCAAAATCACCCTTAGCTCCTATCCTATATTTTTGCATAAAGTAGTCTTAGATATTCATTTGAAGCAAATGATTAATTTGCTGGTGAGTTTCCTTACACCATATTCTAATTGGGGGGTGGGGGAGAAGAGTGAGAGAAAATACTCTAGATGGCCTCAACCTTATTTTATCTTCATAGGATCAAGTCATTTAGAGTCTTGGAGAGACTCTTTGTAGCATTTGCAGACAGTTCAAAAGGATGGCTGTATCAATGTAGAGGTAGTTATCTAAATGGGTGTCTAATCTTATTAAAATCTGTTATGATCTGTTTAGCTCTCCGAGAAGAAGATTAGAACACATTTCAGTAAGGCTTAAGCAGCTTTTGTGACTTCCTTGAGAAGTGTACCCATCTCATAAATATGCAGGACAGCTATGTAGGGTTGAGTCCATGCTTCCAAAACATTATTCCATGGTAGAAACATCAAGTTCTTCTTCGATTGCTTGCTCATGTCGATTCCATTCTAGGTATGTGCGCTAAGGCAAAAGTCTCCCGCGGTATCCGTAGCATTGGCTGTGGTGCCCTCTGGAGTGCTACGCTAATGCATCAGCATATCACGCGCCGCTGGCCCTACGCCCTCTCAGTTCCTTCTTACCGCCCATGATTGTTGGTCAGAGCGCACCTCTCCCTTGCCTCGCAAGTGGTCAGCAGTTTTTCCCTTTCGACTTCGCTTGGCCTGTCCGTCTTTTTGGTCCCACTTATAAGGCAAAGTGGTTCAAGTCCTGACGGACAACACCACCACAATGTTTTATATCAACAAGCAATGCAGAGCCAGGTCATCAGCCTTCTGCCAGGAAGCCCTCCAGCTTTGGGACTTCTGTGTGCAGCATGCCATTCATCTGATGGCAGCACACCTCCCTGGAACTAGGAATGTATTAGCAGCTCGCCTCAGCAGAGACTTCTTGTCTCGCCATGAATGGTCACTCCACTCCAAAGTGGTCAACAGGATTTTTCAAAAGTGGGGAATCTCCCCAGATGGACTTATTCACAACTCGCCAGAACAGGAAATGTCATCTGTTCTGCTCATTTCGGGGGATTGAAAGGAGCTCCTTGTCAGACACCTTCCTACTCCCGTGATCAGGGACTCTGATGTACACTTTCCCATGAGTGCCATTGCTGCACAAAGTCCTTATGAAGATCAAGCAGGGAAAAGCCAAAGTAATCCTGATAGCCCCACCTTGGCCTCACCAACACTTGTTTGGCACGCTGATGGTTACCTGTCCTATCAGCCTTTCACCCTCTGTCTTTCACCACTCTGCAGGGCAGTCTTTGCTCATAACATGACGGGCCGGTTCTTAAGAGGTCTGGAGCAGCTCTACCTCCAAGTCCAGGACTTAGTCCCTCTGTGGGACCTGAATCTGGTGATCACATTGCTCATGAAAGCCCCCTTCGAGCCCTTGTTCTGCTCTCCTGGAAGGCATCCTTCTTGGTGGTGAAAACTTCTGCCCGAAGGGTTTCTAAGATTAGGGCACTTACATCGGAGCCACCCTATATGATGGTGTTCAAAGACAATGTCCAGCTGCAGCTGCATCTGGCTTTCCTACCCAAAGTGGTTTAGCAATTTCACATGAGCCAGGACACATTCTTGCCAGTCTTCTTCCCAAAGCTTCATAAATCTGAGGAGGAATGTAGGTTGCACTCCCTGGATGTCAGGAGAGCGTTAGCCTTCTACATTGAGAGGACCAAGCCATTTCGCAAGTCAACGCAGTTTGTCATGATAGCAGATAGGATGAAAGGTAGTCCAGTGTCCACCCAGAGAATCTCATCTTGGATCACTGCCTGCATCCGATTTTGCTATCATCAGGCGAAAGTGCCTCCACCAGCAATTGTAACCACCCACTCAACTAGAGCACAAGCCTCATCAGCGGCCTTCCTGGCCCAGGTACCAGATATCTCCAGGGCCGCCACCTGGTTGTCCATTCACACATTCACGTCTCACTATGCGCTTACCCAGCAAGCCCGGGACAATGCTCGCTTCAGTAGAGCAGTATTACAAGCCACATGTCTGTGAACTCAGAACCGACCTCCAGGGATACTACTTGTGAGTCATCTAGAATGGAATCAACATGAGCAAGCACTTGAAGGGGAAAAAAAGTTACCTACCTTTCATAACTGTTGTTCTTCAAGATGTGTTGCTCATGTCCATTCCATTACCCACCTTCCTACCCCTCTGTCGGAGTTGTTAGCAAGAAGGAACTGAGGGTGGGGGGGGCCGACGGCGCCTGATATACCAACGCTTGAGTGCGGCACTCCAGAGGGAGCCATAGCCAACCCTACGGATACCGCTAAGGCAAAAGTCTCCAACAGCTGTGCACGTGGGCACACACACACCTAGAATGGAATGGACATGAGTAACACATCTCAAAGAACAGTTGCAAAAGGTAGGTAACAGTTTTATCTGATGCTGCTTCTAGCAGAGCAGTGCTATGTTTCTTTAAGTAGACTCCAAGCACCTGTCTGTCTTCAGCTCACTGTTTGTTTTTTGAGCCACCAAGAATGGAATATATATGGAGTACTCGAAGAAGAAAGTCACCTTATAGAAACTTGAGTTCTTCGAGATGTGGTGGTATATATATTTCACCACCTGCCCTCCTTCCCCTCTACAATGGTGTCTTCCATATCTTAAAACAAAAACAAAAAACCCTTAAAAACAATGTCCATTTGAAAAGGAAAAATCAACCATTTCATATTCTGAAGATATTGAAATGGAACACTTCAAGATTGGGAGAAAAAAGGAAAAAGTTCTAATAAACAAAATTTTAGTGAAATTGACACTATTTTACAAAGCATTTTAGTTTAGCCAGACTTGCCTTTTTCTGACGGAAAACTGTTCCATCAAAGATGTGAACCATTTTCATTCATGTAGGGCAAAATGTATTGTGGATAGGAAAGTTAAGATTTCCTCTATCCTGCAATTGCATCAGAATGAGGTTGACGATCTTCACTAAACAAAAATACTAAAGTGTGGTGTTTCTTTTTTAACAACTTGAATTCTTGATCTTTTCATAACCAAAGTTCAATGAACTCTAACCTGGTGGTCTGGTACTTGAATTAAAAATCCTAAGAGAATTCCAGTCACCTTAAAAACATTTTAAGAACTAAACATGTATAGATAAGGAATTTAGCTAACCAAATTGCAGGTGTAAAATTTGGTTGCAGAAATGGAGAAAACAGCATAAAATTCAAGTAGATTATTTAGGGCCAGATTTTAATCTACTTGAATTTTGTCTTTTTCCCATAACTTTTTTTCTCAGAAGTTTAACTCCAAGGCAGAAGTCTTTGAAATACATCATAGAATTTTTTTAGCTGAAGATATGGTATTGGTTCATCTACATACACTGGAAATCCAGTGATATAGCACCAAAGAATTTATCACAAGCTACAAAAGACTTTTCCTAATTTTTAGATAAAAAGATATCTTCCCTTGGCTTTTTCTTGTTGGTGTGCTGCTATAGTATTCAGCTGCAAAGCCATAAGAGTCCTAGAATAATAGAAAACATTCTGGATAAATACTTATTTGTTGACTTCATGGGCATATGACTGCAAAGCTTAGAGAATCACTTAGAATAAACTTTCTCCATAACATAACTTTCTAATTATCAGGCAGTTCCTGAAGAGCTTATTTCAATGGCAGAAAGATTCAAGCAATTTCAGATGACAAAAGAAATCAAAAAGGATTTAGGAAGACCTCGTGGAAAGTCCCGGAAAGGTTTTTAATTGCCTGGGAGATATTTAAACAAAGTAAGTAAATTCTTACAGTAATAGTGGTATAGATTTGAATTTAGGGCCAGATTTTTCAAGCATGGGTACTTTTGTGCATGTTTGTCTTGCATACACTAATTATGTCTGCGAACTTTTTGAAAATCTGGTTCTCCTTACATTTAATGATGTGTTGCTATGTTTAGATGTCACTCTCAATTATTCTTTAATCCACACTTAAGGCGGAAAAAAGTGTGTGTCAAGGTTAGTAATTGCAATGACATCATTTTTAAAAACTATAAAAATGCCAAAGAAAATTAAAATTCTGCTTTTAATTTGACAAACTGCAGAATTTTTTAATATACAAGAATTTAAAAATTAACTTCTCCCTTATATTTTCAGGGAATCCGATGGGTGCATACACCCAACACCTGTCAACATTGTTTCAAAATAACTTACATGCCTGATGTTACCACCATTTGTCAGTGGAGTGCAAGGAGGATGTTACATCTGTGGTTTGGGACAGACAAGGCATGGAATGGGTATCTTTCATTGTTGGAAAATGAAGCATATTCTTACAGTAATAGCTGAATAAATCTCTGAACTAATATTTCTTCAAGTCTGTCATACTGAGTGGATGGAAACCCAACCAAATGATAAAACAGTATACAAATTTTGAGAGGCCCCAATCTTTTTTTCTAATAAGGTTATATGTTTTCTATTTTGATTCTTCTGGGCCTCTTATTTTCTTTTACATTAAGCTTATATACTTGTATACAAAACTCCTGTTGACTTCAGTAGGACTAAGATTTCACCTTTCCTATTTATTTTGATGTTTTTGACCTTTTTAAAGAGAATAAAGGACTCTAGTTTTGTACAGCACAAGTTTTCAAATGCTGTAAGATTTTTGCATTTGCTAAATAAAAAACTTGAAAATGTAATAGCTTTTCCAGTGGCTGTACCTTTCCTATGTGCTCTTGTTTCATAGTCTCTTCAAGAAAGAAGAATCAAGTTAAGTTCCGTCTGAGCAGATATAATAGTCTGCTGCTGTTGCTGCTTGTACTCTGACATCCAAAAATAAAGTGCAACTATAGTTGTTATCACTTAAAAGCAGGATCAGTAAAAAGTATAATTATCCTTAAGCACATTTTATTTTGGAATATTCAATATTCAAGTATCCCTCAAAATACCTCAACGTGAGCAAAGTAACGGATGAAAGAAAATCAGAACTATGATTTTGGTTTTTTGCAAGCTATTATAGATTCATAGATTCATAGATTCTAGGACTGGAAGGGACCTCGAGAGGTCATCGAGTCCAGTCCCCTGCCCGCATGGCAGGACCAAATACTGTCTAGACCATCCCTGATAGACATTTATCTAACCTACTCTTAAATATCTCCAGAGACGGAGATTCCACAACCTCCCTAGGCAATTTGTTTAACCAGTGTTTAACCACCCTGACAGTTAGGAACTTTTTCCTAATGTCCAAC